TAATTTTCTCTTTTAAACATCACCAAAAGGCAAACACAAACACTCATGAGTTTTTAAAAGGCTACATTTTAAAATAAACACAAGGTTAGACCTGCCATACATGGTCAAAGCATTCACCCATCCACTCCAGCATCCATCCCGGAGAGGGAGCAGGTGCCTCCAGAAAGAAACACCAGTTGGCCAAACATCTAAGTTGTAACTTGGTACAAATTTCATCCCAGTAAATCAGCCTCTGGCAAGCTGCTGCACAGCAGCTCAGAGAGCACACGCCTTGGATGCACCATGCTAAAAAGTGCAAGATGTATAGACAGAGGCATTATTCCCCATTTAATAGCCCAACATTTTTGTTTTAACAACTATGTCTGCACAAAGCAGAATCAAATTCCACATACAAGAAAGTACCTCAGATCTGTGTTGTCTCTACCGAGCATTTTTGTTTTGGCTTCAAGAACTGCAATGTCCAACCAGTAAACTTTCAAGCAAGGCTTTTCCTTCCTCTAAAGAAAATTCACTGAGTAATGTTTTAAAGTGCCCCTATCATCTTAAAGATTCTACTCAAAAACTCCTAACACGAAGGCTTTGCATGTCTACATTTATATGTTGCTTCTGTCTATTAGTCTGAAATAATGAAGTGGCTGCTTTGTCAGTTCTCTGGTAAGGTAAAACTGGAACAACTCATTTGGTTACACATGGATATTTTTTAACCTGCCTCCACAATATCTCTGTAAGTTAAATTACATCTATCTCCTAAATGAAGAAACTAAATCACAGAGTAGCTAGTCCCTGTTTTTTTTAGGGAGGTACCACACCAGGGTTCACATTGTGCAGACACTTCATCCTGGAAAGTAGACCCCAGACTTTCACAAGAGCGGACCCACTTTTTCAAGTATAAAAAACATCCAAAAAAAAAAAAAAGACAAAACCAGAGAAAGACAGAACATAGAAAACCCCACAATACACTGAGTTTGAATTACACTTAACATTGCTACTATTGCAAGATCTCCAAAGTAATGACTATAAATGCTAAAATATCTGGATTGTCTTCACTCACTATATGGCAGTACAGGAACCAGTTTACTTTAGCTACAGGCAAAGCGTGACATTGCCCCTTGAAAGCAATGAACTCTCTGCTCCCAAACAAACCTTTGGGCAGTTACTCACATGTCCCAGGCAAAAAACAACTTTATTCTCCCTAAACAGCTTACCATCAAACAACTAAACTGTCCTGCGTGGCTTTGACAGAAGAAATGCAAAAAGCAGCAACAAAAATAAAGCAAGAAACACAGGGAGGAGAAAAAAACCAAGCAGGTGAGGTGCACAGAGAGAAAGAGTTTTTTAACAGGCACGGAAGGACGTGGGGGAATGGCGATCCAGGTATCACCCGGGCTGTAAAGACAAGGGGATGGATCGAACAACCTGCCGCAACACCCGCAGCGCTCCGCTGCTTCGGGATTTAAACAGATTTTTTTTCCGTAAGGGTTTATAACGGCACTAGCCACACCGACGTTCCACCCACCCCCCAGAGATTAACGAGGCTTTAACCGATTTCCCAAGCATCAGGAGCCACTCCAGGGCGGTGATGTCCCCTCGGGGGGGCCCACCGAGGCCCGCAGGAAGCCGGGGCCGAGCTCCGCTCCAGCCCCACCGGCCTCCCGGAGCCGGGACCAGGCGAGGCGGCCGCCGGTGCCCGAGGCCGCGGGGCCGGAAGCGCCGGGGGGGGGGGGGGGGGGCAGCCGCCACCCCCCGCCGCGGGCCCGGCGGGCTCCACAAAAGACGGAAGGTGGGAGCGAGCGGACTCACCGGGGACACACACACACACACACACGGCCGGGCTGAGCGGGGCGCGGCCGCCACACGGCGCCTCTGCAATGGCGGCAGGACCCACCGAGGCGGCGGCGGCGGCGGCAGGAGCCGGAGGGGGAAGCGGAACCGCCGCCCGTGGCCACAGCCCGCGAGGGCGGGGCGCCGCCCTCACGACTACAACTCCCGGCGGGCAGCGCGCCTGCGCAGGAAGCGGGCGGCGGCGAGGCGCGGGGGCTGATGGGGAAGGAGGGGGGGCGCGCGGCCTTTCGCTCGCCTCAGGGCGGGGAGGGGGCCCGTCGTGAGGGGGAGCGAGGGCGCGGGTGGGCGCCCACGCTGCGGAAGCGCCGTCCCAACCCCTGCGGGCACCGACTGGGACGGGAGCTGGAGAAGCCCCGGGGTGCCGCTGCTCAGGGCCTCCTTCGCGCCCCCCCCCCCGCCCCCTCCTTCAGGCACTGACTTTTCAGGTCCTGTCATCGGAGCGTCATATAAATAACATTTATTTCCTCTAGGGCGGTGGGCTATAGCCAGCTGCAGGGGTAAAAACCCCACCGCCCTAGGAAAAATAAAAAAAAAAGGCAGACCACTTCTAAACTATCTCTTCTTCACCCCTCGTTTCTATCTACAGGGGATTAAATTAGATATTATTGCCTCAGTGCCTCATTTTGTGAGGAAAACCTGTTCAGTACAAGGGTTTCACACTGTGTTTCAGCGACCCCTCGAGGTCTGCCCCAGCTCACTGAGGTAACTGCGACCAGGAGGTTGGGAAGGGCATCCGAGCGCACCACGGTGGTCATGCCTCGTGTTCCTCTTCTGTGGGGTGCTGCTCTTCCTCTTGCCTTGAAGGTACTGGAAGGGGTTTATTTTTATATCAACGCAGCTGACAACAAATTAACCCTTCTCCCACCAACTTCTCAGGTCCAGAAGTCCACACAGCTCGGGGTTCAGCAGTACCAGTGAAAGCCACGCACGTGAGCTACAGCAGCAGGATACAAGAGCAGCTTTTCACATTGCCATTTCCTACCATCAGCGACCAAAGCCACCACTCACACGCCCAGTTTCCATGAGTGTTGTAGTTACACAGCAGAGAAAGAAGCAGTGTACGTGCCCTCAAGACCTCCCCCAAAATTCCTGCAATACACTTCATCTTCCAGATGACTTCCCCAAGCACCCACCTACCCTGGACACTGGACCTCACCTCCTCTGCCGGTCCAGGCTTGAAGCAACGTCTAATTTTTCTTTCAGAAGGAGAAGGACATGTATCAGGCAGATCCACTTCATAAAGGTCTTGCAGGCTTCCACTAAGGCCTCAAACCTCCATGCAGGTCCAGGCACAAAGAGTGCAAATCAGACCTTCCAGCTTCTATTGCTTTCAGCAAACACTCGCTGGCTATCTTCACTCTTGCTCTCCAGGGAATTGCTACAGAGCCAGTGGTCACAGAAAACTTGTCCCTACAGACCAGCCTTGTTTCAGAACAGTACTCCAAAGTGACCCTGCTGCAGCTGCTGCAGACAGCTCTGGTCTGCTTCCTACTGTGGGCAAGGCCATCATCTTCACTTCTCTTTGCGTATTGCTTTGTTACTTTCCCATTCTGACTCGACTCTGTATTTGAGCCTCCCAGGATCTAGGTTTTTCTAATTCATGCCTGCAGGTACTTCTCAAGAAGCCACGGCAGATTTCTCAATTTCACATCTCCCTCAGCTCTATTTTCCTTCCCTATAAGGTAACTTCTCCTTGCTGCTTCAGCCTTCTACCCCTAGACCCACTCGGCTCCTGCTCCAAACCATTTTCAGAATCCTGAACCCCCTCCCATTCTTCTGTCTCCCAGCCCAGGCACATCTTTTTAAACAACCTGGGAGGGTTGTTTTGGTTTGATTCTGTTACACCCATTCGTGATTCAAAGTTTTAATTCCTAACAAGTCCACTGCTCCTCCCCCTTTTCCTTCATTGCTCCAATTCAGTCCTTACACACATTAACGATGGATATGTTTGTGTCCATCCCTCATACCTATGTTCTCTTGCCAAGAGCTCATAGCTACCTAATTTCTGTCTCCAAAGCTGCCAGAATTTTTCCACAGTGAAACGACTGCCTTACAGCTCATCCTCCGTATCTGCCAGTGATCCCCATGGAGCCCCACACCTGCACCCTCCTGTGTCTGGCACATGCCTGCTAAATGCAGTGCTTGCTTAATTAAAGTACTTTCTGGTATGGGAGAAAAAGTTTAACTGACAAATTCATTCATACTCAACACTACAATTAGTTATTAGACCTATTTACAACTTTTAAAGAAAAACTTGTCTACTATAATACAAATGCTATGGATTTTAAAACAGCAAATATTTGCTATTTACCATAGCAAAAAACATCCATTGAGAAGTTCTGCGATTTCTCTAACATTTTACATTAATCAGATTCAGTATTATTCAAGTTCAGCGGAAGAGCTTATTGGTGGGATCCTGATGAATTTTAGATACACTTAAATGTAAGCCATGGGCCAGCCAAACTGAGTAATGCACATCTAAACTGTCCTGAAGGCAACTATTTGCTTAGTACTGACAGTAGTGTGACACCCCCTGTAATTCAAAGCCCTCCTGCCTCAGATTCTCCTACAGCATCTTACCACTAACGTGGGTTTGCATTCTCAGTTGTACAGATTTCCAAACCAGCCATTTGTATATTTTTGCCACTTACAGTTCTTTTTCTCACTTGTCCGAATGACACCGCCGTTTCCTTTTGCTAGGCTACGACAGCAGGCACCTGACCTTAGCTAAGGAATTCAACCTGTGATTTTCAACTGGTATGATCTGATGTTAAAAAAAACCTGTGAGCTTTCAGGTGATAAAGACCTGACAGAGCTGAGTGGCAATCTGGGATGTTGCCATCCCAAGGGTGAGACTGCATCACAGAATTACTGACCTGCCTAAGAGAGAGAGAGAGAGCACGAGAAGAAAGTAAACTCTGGGAATTAAGAATCCCCCTCAGAGACAAGCGTTACAAAACTAGTCCGCAACCCTGCTGCACTGCTGTGGTTAAACAGGCTGCCCAATCTCTCTGCAATTGTTCTCTTTAATTTCTCCCTTCCCCCAAGCAGATGCAGTGCATGACTCCTCTGAGGTAGCGAGCGGATGAAGTACTGGCGCAGCCACTGTCATTCAGCACAGTCAAGGGAAAACAAGAGCCCAGTGTCAGAGCACTCACCAACCTGTCGTGGGCGAAGTCACAAGACGAGCTCTCTATTGAATTCCAACAGAAGCAGGAAGATGCCCAGTGGATCCTGAAGCTACAGCTGGACAGTGATAAAAGGATGATTCTGCTGATGAGAAGTCTTGGCTGCACACAGAGCCCTCAAAAGGACAGAATTTGAGAACCAGAATTTTCATTGATCCCCCCTCACACACGCACTCCCCGCATCACCTGCTTTTACTAGCTCTCAGCTGATAAGGAATAAAATCTGTTTTCTCCACCAACAGTCCCCAGGAGTTACCGTAAACTCACAATGCCACCTACTGACAATTAGAAACAGCAACCAAGCTCCTCTGTCAATCCAGAGCAACTCGAGTTTTCCAGTAATTTCCTCTCCATTTCCTTGTATTTATCAGGTGTTCTCATGGCTGAATGCAAGTCTTCTAAATATTTGCTTCTCGTTAATATCTTTTCACCACTTTTCACCTTCCAAGGGTTATTCTTTCCTATTCTGAAATACGGTGAAATTTCTTTCAAATTTTCTAAACTCTTTCAGTTCTAATTTGACAAAGAGCACCTAATCCATCCCAGTTGTTAGAATGGGAAAGATTATTTAAGCCTTTTCCTATGTCCTGTGGAAAGCACATAACATCTCTTCCCAAATTCATACACAACCCATCTGGACAACAAGCTTAGAATTCAGAAACTTTAATGACTAGATAATGTTTTTCATACCCTTAATAAGCAATCCCTAAGTCCGTTGGTTTAAATTAAATACAAACACCTCTGGGGAGAGGCAGCACTGTAGTCGAAGCAGGCTCTCGGCCAGGGGGAGGGAATCAGAGCTGAGACTGTGGCAGTCCTTCCAGTTTTTTGCAGCGCTGTTCCTACCCTCCATCCGCTTTATCTGTCAACAATGCGCCGAAACAGTCCTATGGTGTGTGAGAGGTGTTTGTAAGAATGAGGCCAAGGGAACTGTTACATAATGGTAGGACCCTCGCACGTTCCCCGGATATAAATAGCAGTAGAATAGGATTCATTCAGGAAGCTGATGTAATATTCAGTTAGTTTTGCTGGATGGAGGTCAGTCATTCCGTATTTCTTTATTCTGAGCAGGTCTCCAGGGAGAAGTCTCCGTATTTGCACACAGCTGCAAGAATCAGACTGGAACAGAGCACCGTGGCAAGAAGTGTCATGACACACACCAACCAACTATGTTGCCTGAGCCCCACTGGAACCTGCAGAATCAATTCCTCATTTGCCTACAAAGAAAAATGAATGGATTACACGCATTTAACAAGCTCGCTCTTTCTGACTGCAACTTGGAGGATTAGTAACCAGACCACTATTTAATTAGCCCTTTGCTAAGGCTTCTTCTGGGATTCAAAATCAAAACCAAGATGGGACATCACCTTTCAATTTACAGCAAACGGAGCACCTGCAGTACAAAGCTCAATAAATTTAACTGCTGCCATTTTAAATGGTAGCCATTTATATCCTCTTACATCTTCTTCTTACAATAAGCTTGCCATTGAGGATATGTGTGTAATACAGCATGGAAGAGAGAAGCTCTCAGAGTGAGCCTTCCACAGCTCACAGAGAAGCCAGTTTTCTCCAATAAGCTATTTGGTTTCTCTGTGATGCAGACAGCTCCAAAACATTTCTGGACAAGAGCTGCAGATATCCCAGATGTCTGCAGGCATCTTAAATATAGGAGGGCACGTGTTACAAAAACAACAGATTTGTTAGGAGGCAAATTAGTTTTATTTCCAAGTCTCTACACTACTGCAACACTTTCAAGTATTAAAGGCAGTTGTTGACCGCACTAAAAATCCAACTTTCCTTGGTTTTGAACACAAAATAAAGGAACTTTACCTCTTCCTAGACACTTAGCCAATCAGATAACAACCAAAGAGACAGAAGTGGCCTTTTTTTAAGATGTTATCCCTTCAATCTTTGGGGTGTTACACCTCCTTTAGTTAGATCATAAAGTAGTTTTCCACTTTGCTGCTCCTCTGAAGCACCTATTTTGCAAAGACCTTTCTTAATTTGACCACCGCGAATTATATCCTAGAATTCCAAGAGAACTATTAAAGAAAGGTGAGGAGAGCAGCCACCATAAAGGACTAGAAAAGCACAGAGTGACTACAGTCATGTCAGAAGGGCAGGAGAACACCCGTTAAAAGCTGGTCAGAAAGGAAGAAGGGAGCTTCCCTAAAGAGAAATCGCACAACCAGTCTTTTACCGATTAGTTCCTGTGCTTTGCAAGTTGCTAATCACGGGAAAAAGGCAGCAACCGTTAAACAAGAACCACAAATTCCCAGCAGAATTGAGAACTCACAGGTTTGTGTGTTATGCTGTACCACTGACAGGGGCCATCGGTTTTGCCTGAACAGGGGGCTTCCACTTCAGCAGGCTTCCAGCACTCTGCTGACAGGCGACCTACGGAAGACATTAATGCATCAGCAGGATCCACACAGGATGAAACAATATGGCCTGCAAGACTTTTTCAAATGAGGTATCTTTCCTCCACAACAGCTGAACAGAATCTACTCCCTGAAAACCAATAGGTGAAACAGCACTGATAGAAATGTGCCAGCTAACCCGCATGGTCAAAGTGGTGCTGGGCATCACTTTGCATCTCTTTGCAACTCTTCCCTTCCTGATACAGTAGGTACCCAAGAAAGACTCTCACTTGCGTGGTATCTTGGCCCTTCTGTTCTTAACAGGGCAAAGAATTCATCATTGACCTGTACACCCCTCAACTTCAGCTATACAGCTACAATTTCTCTTCCCTCAACACAAAGAAGTCATTCTTCCATTCCTTCATGTTGGCCTCCTGTTGGCACATGCAAGAACTCCCCTCCAATACTTTAAATGCTTTCATATTAATAATAAATGTTTTCCTGCTCATAGGAAGCAGTAAATTAAGTAGTAAATGTGGCAGAAAAATGGGAAGATTTCACAGTGCCTTTTTTAACTGACCAGGCAGTCTTCTCTGCCCCTAAGTCTATCCCAGAAAATCATTGCTCAGATAATGTGCAAGTGAAGATAAAGGAGTTGAGAACCATTAGCACATTTGACTTGGCAGCTAGCAAGAATGATTTTGTGAAAGGAATTACGATTTGTAGCAAAAACGTAGGATTTCATTGTTCATGTAATTGGAAATATTCATTGTCAGTGGATATCAGGTTCTTGTTTCACAGGGGTCTGAGACTCCAACCATTCTAACATTCAGGCACAGAGTTTTCTACATTTCCCCCATTCTATATGGGGAACGCAGGAAGACAGTGTTAGAAACCATCAGAATACTTTGATTATACTCTAAATACATGATAGTGAATATTAAATACGCCCTGCATGGCTTCAGCTGCCAAGAGAAATGCTGTGAAAACACGGTCTAAGCAGCCAACCTTTAACAAGCCAGGGCCGGCCCCGATTGTGACAAACAGCCCAACTGCCAGCATTTTCAAGCAAAAGAGCCCGAACAGCCCGCTACAGTACAAGGGTACAACAGCAGCAGGGCAACACTAAGAAGTCTGGTGACAAATAATCTGCCTTTGGTCAGGCAGCAGCAGCATTCAAAGAGGAAGACAACGTGGTCTTTCTCAGGGCCACTATCTTCCCTTCGTGTTCACATGGCAACTCAGAGCTCCACCTCTGGAAGACAAACACAGAACCAGATTCCAAGCTCTGGATTTCCCATGGTTATTCCTCTCTCCCCAAAAGAGCAAGTAACGAGACACTCACTGTCGCAGCAGCAGACCAGTACTTCTGGGCTCTTCACAACAACCAACGCTTCCTTGGTCTCTTCTGCTGGGCGGTGATACCGCCCGTGCACTGGCAAGGCGGCTCTAAAACAGTGAGAGCACTGAGGGTCGGGTTCCATGTACAAGAGAACAAGAAAATCTGTGGCTAAGTACTCAGGAGCCTCCACATCAATGACATCAGGAATTAACACCGCCTGCAAGTGGTGAAAGACACAGATGTGGTTGCAGTCGGAATCAACACAAGGCAGGGGGAAAAAAAGTATGAACATTTTGTGCATGGATCTGGGATTTAAGAGGCCACTGTCTGCCACAGTAACCTACTGCAGCATCGGAAGGAAAAACTATTTTCCTCCCTCTGTTGTCTAACATTGGGCCTGATTTTGTGGTCAGGAAGATCAAGTTGGAAATTCTGTCCTTAAGCTGTTCCAAAGTAACTTTTCAAGCCCCTCACCAATGAGCGATTGTTACGTGTGAAAAGTTTACAGTGCAACCATGCCTACAGCCAAACCTAAGAGGCATTAGCTTAACGAGGCCATACCAACACCTGCAAGCATCCCAACAGCACAAGTTGCTCAGAGTCTTCGCATCCCTATGTTTTAACTGGATTAAGTGCCTAAGGAAATTACCTTAAAATCACCACTTTCACACATCTCTCTACCCAAAATGCAAAGCAACGACTGGAAAGCAACACAGAAAGCTGTGGGGGAAACAAAGCTCTAAAGCTACTCGGTCTGAACATGCAGGACGCTGCTTAGAGCTCACTGCCACCTCTTTTTGGGGGGCGTTAACCTTCCGCCTTCTCAACCCAAATAGCTTTTGCCACAACTGCTCACCCGGGGCGGAGCAGAGCAGCAGCAGCCCCCCAGTACACACACATACGTGTGGAAATATCAGCAGCACGTGATAAAAAACGCCCTGCACCGGGTGGTGCTGATCAAGTGGAGAGATGCAGCGAGACGTCACGAAGATGCTGCTGTGTGGCATCTCTTTCCAGGAAAAAAAAAGAATTAAATCGGCTTGGTTCAACGCGCCAGATAATGACCAGAGATTACAACTTCCTGAGCATACTCGTTCTTATCTGGGTAACTGCCAGATGTCCTGGCTTTGGGGTTGTTACCTTTGTCAAGTTGTGCTGCCGCAGCGATGCCAGCTCATAAGGGTCCACGTAGATTCCCGATGGGAGATGAGTTCTGGCTGCCACTGTGCATCCTCCAGCGCCCTCCCCCACTGCACCGAGTTCTACCTTCACCAGCAGGTCCCTTCAAAACGTGCAAGAGAAGCAAAACGTTTATACCCACGCCTCCAAAGACGGTGCAAACCTTCCCCCCTCCGCGAGACGTGCTCCCAAACACGCGGAGACGAGATGCAGCTCGCCCGTGCTCCATGTGCCGAGCTCAGAAAGCAGCTCCCTGTCGAGCCGTGCTGGTTAGGATGACACAGCTCACCCAAACTCCGCATCCATGCCCAAAATGAAGTCTCGCTTCTTTGTTAACTTCTCGGTTAACCAACAGGTTCCACGCAGATCTTAGAAAGGGGCCTCTTGCTCTTCCTCCGCAATAGCTGGTAGCTGTTAATTATTTGATCGTGCTAACGCATTCTTAGGGCCCAGCCATGCCTGCGGACCACAGCTCAGCGAGCTGATACACCGGTGCACGAGTTAGAAGCGAAGCTTTTTCACCTGTGAAACTACCCGGCTGGTTACTCCTCCGCAGCGCCGGGGTGACGGCTCACCTGTGAAACCCCTCTTGCAGAAACTCCTGCGTGACAGCGGCCTCCTGGCAAGCGGCCTGCGCATCTAAAAACAACACAGAGCAAACGAGTCACCACCTGCAGAACCTCTCGCAGCAAAAGGGAAACGGAATTTGACTGCCACCAGCAGCAGAGGAGGGGGTTTTCTTGTTGGTTTTTGTATTTTTTATTTTTTTTTTTTTAGGTCGCGCCGCGCTTCCCAAACCCAGAGCGCTGCCCTGCACACGCAGCTCCGCGCCCGCGTAAATAAAGTAAACGCGCTTACAGAGAGCGCCGAGGAGCGCGGCCAGCCCGGCGCCGAGCAGCACCGCCTCGCCCCGCCGCCCGCCCGCCATGACGGGCTCGCTCCCGCCCGCGGCGCCCGCCTGACTCCGCGGCGACCACCGGACCCTTCGCTCCGCACCGCGCACCGGCCCCGCGCACCGGCCCCTCGCTCCGCGGCGCCCACCGGACCCTCCCCCCCGCGCAGCCTCAGCCCCCGGCCCGGTGCGCGGGGCCGCTCAGCCCCGCAGGCGCTGGTGTGGGCAGCCCCGACGGGGGCCTTCGCAGCCAGGGCCCGGCCGTAGCCATGGCAACCGGCCGTAACCGGGCCCGGTGCCGCCGGCGCCTGAGGGGAAGGGGCGAGAGGCGGGAAGGGCGGCCCCGGCCCTGCGCCGCTTCCCTCCTCTCTCCACATTTCAGCCTCGGCCGCCCGCGGCCGCGAAAGGTTCTTTCGGAAACAAGCGGAAGGAAAGCGGCTTTTTAACGGCCAGAGGAGTTCTGCTGCGGCGCAGGAGCTGGCAGGGCAAAAACCCCCTCACCCAGGTGTGCTTCAGAACTACTGAGAGCGAGGGTCTCTGCTTCCGTGGCCCCGCGATGCGAAACCTCTTTCCCTTCTTTCACACGGAGCCGGATGACATCATATGTCTGTCTGCCTCGCCTGTGGATTTATTTGCCGTTTCAAAGATAGAGGCTGACTCTTGCGATCTTCCGTGACCCTTCAAGGAGCCATTTCAGTTCAGTTTGAAGCATCGTTTCTCATTTTAAAATAGTGAAAGTGGCTCTGGAGAGACTTCTGCTTTTCTGCCCAACTCGGAACTATTTTAAAGCAAAAGGTGGAGCAGCTGTAGTTAATTTTCAGTATTGAGAACATTACTGCAGATTTGAACTCTTTGCTACGTGGTTTTTAACGAAGAAGGAAGACTTTTCAACTCGACTTCAACATAGCTTTTGAAGTTTAATGCAATTTTTCTTGATTTGGAGACAAACATTAATTTTTGGGGTATAATTTCTTACTTTAGCTTTCTGCAGTCTGTAGGCTAGTCAGAGAAGCAGATAACCTTCACGTTTGGCATATTTTCACTTATTTAAAACCAAAAGAAAAAATAACGTACGCATTCCGTGTTGTACACTAAGCTGGGAAGAAGGATCTGCAGCAGGTTTGGATCTGTAAGCCTCTCTAATATTTCATCTGGTTCGAAAAGGGGACGGAGCCAGAGGCAGGGCTGATGCTGAGAGGTTCTCAAGAGCATTTTGGGTATGGACAAATTCAGGAAGGCAGAAAAAGAGAAGTTGTTGATGCCAGTTGGACTGACGTTCCCCCACTCCTGTTGCAAGACAAAATGCTTTAGAGAAAAGTAAAAAGGATAACTACAGGTTAACTTCCTAACCTCATTCACGTAGTAGCTGACTGACACATTGATTCCTGAGAGCTTAGTAGTCGTTACCTTAAAATGAAATTCTAGTTTGTACAGTATGTTCTTGCTATCTACATAAACACAGCCGTGTGTTCAGTGGGTCAGTCAGCGCTTCTTCCCCACTCACCCCCTTTCTCCACCTTTTAAATAAGACAAAAATTCACGGTTCCTCTGCACACACACACACATCAGCTCGGCATGTTCAAATCTTAAGCCATTCTTGACCTTCATGAACATTTTATAGCTTAAGCTCTACCTGTGGTAATGTGCTGTGTAAAAAGCATTTCCATTTGTCACTTGTAAATTCTCAGCTTTTCTGTTTCACTGATGGTGTATTTTAGTTGGAGAAGAAGTAAATAGTCGAACACCATTTCCTCTCTTTAAAATGAGTTACTATTTTCATTGTCACCTAGTAAGGAGTTTAATTATTTTTGGTTTTCGTATCTGAATCTCTTCTCTCTCCTTGTCCCATCTGTCATCGGTTACAGATACGGTGCTATATTGAGGTCACTCTGAAACTGTAAGAAACACTTGCAAATACTGAGTAGTTACTCTTCCTCTTAAATTTTTTTTTTTTTTTTCTTAAAAAAAGGGGGGGGAATTCCAGTGTTGCATACATCAACATTTTGGATGCAAGATACTCCCTTGCCATATGAAATAAAGAGTATAATATCCCCAGATTTGAGGCAGAAACAGAGACAAGTAAAGGATATTTGAACCATATAAATCAATTGATTGCCAAGAGACATTCACATCTTCTTTCCATTTTTTCTTTTCCTGTTTTTCAGTGAGCACTGGCGTTGCTGAGGCCCTCTCTGATAAAGCTGCCTGCGCTCCAGCCAGCAGCAAGAACTGTAATGGCTTACGTCGCGAAGAAGTGCGGCATCTGCTTTCAGCCTCCGTCCATTATCCTGATCTACAAAGATGACAGCGAGGAGAAGACTCGCCAGCGCATCATGCCGGTCAGAAATTTCTCCAAGTTCTCAGGTGTAGTGCGTTTACTTGTCGCATTCCCCAGGTCCCCTCCAGACACGGTGGGAGGAACAGCTAGCTGGTAACAGCATTTCTGGTAACCACTGAGTAGCTTCTTACTCAGCGTGCCGGGAGTGCGGAGGGGTTGTTTTAGGATAACACTGTCCTCCCTGAGTTGCCCAAGGCTACACTGTAACCTGAGCAGTGGCTCTGCTAAGTCTGGAGGCCTCACTTTTGAGGATTTGAGAGAAGAGGCTCTGTTTATGGGAAGAGATTTGCTGGCAGCTGTAGAGTCTTCACGGTGGCTTTCTCTTTAGACTGCAGCATGGCTGCTGAGCAGCTGAAGAATAACCCTCGGCACAAGGCTTACCTAGAAGGAGTCTCACTACATCAGCTGCAGAAGCTGTACAGTTTGCTGAAAGGTCATTTGGAAGGAGAGAGCCTGGCTGAGAGCTTGGAAAAGTTTCGGCAGGAAGAGACCATTGACCCAGAAGAGGATATGAACAAACTAGATGACAAGGAACTAGCCAAAAGGAAGAGGATCATGGACGAGCTCTTCGAAAAGAACAGGAAGAAGAAGGATGACCCAGATTTCATCTATGACGTTGAGATTGAGTTTCCACAGGATGAGCAGCTGGAGTCCTGTGGCTGGGATGTGGAGTCAGGTGAAGAAATCTGATTCCGGACAAAGATGTGTTGGATGGGCAGTTTGGAGACAAATCTCATGGCCCTGACAGAGAGAATGATGTCAGCATACATATTCTACTGCATCGTTTTCTGCTCATGCAACTGATGCACCTTACATTGGCTACGGAGAACCCAGGGCCCAAGGTGCTACAGCAGTTCCAGGTTTAAGTGAACTTTGTTTAAGAAGCCAGACTTGATGAAATGGAAACGGGCAGCTGAACTCGGTGTTTTCAGTCTTTTCCTATGTGCGAGTGCCTAAAATAATTTTCAATTATTTAATCTTTCATTTGTTTACATTTTAGTCAGCTTTGGCTGAAAACCTCACCAGCTTGCCCTGCTGTGATTTCTATTCATCTTTGTCTGAAAAGGTAGTGTTAAATATTTATGTCTTGAAAGCAATGTTAAAGCTTTATTGTACAAACACGGTATTTACTAGTTTTTGCTGGAATGTTAAATATGGATTAGTCTTTCTGGGTGAATCAACACTGTGTTGAAAATATTACTCTCATGTTTCCTGAGCAATGCTTAAATCTCCAGCTTCAGTTTACACAAATATAAATCCTTCTATTTAAGAAATAGAATAGCTGGAAAATAAATTAGTCTTGAAAGTACTTCTGAAAATACAGTGATTTCAAGCTGAAGCTGAGGTGTTTTGCTTCTTTCTATTGCAAGATAATGCTTTCTGGGTAAGTGCTCAGTTCTGGGAAAATGTGCTGAAACTATCTGAAAAAAAAAAAAAAAAAAAGTGTGGTAGAAGATCACAAAGGCTGGGGCTGGGTTTAGAGTAAAACAAAACCTTTCCCCCTGGCTGCCTCACAGACTGCAGATCCCAGCTCGCTGGAAATCATGCTAGGGGAGGACCTGACATGACAAGTGAAGCTACAGCAAAAGGTCCTCCACGTACTGGTTTGGTGGTCACCGAGAAATTCATCGCTGCAAACGAATATTTTACTTATCCCACGGAAGTTTTTAATCCCGCTGTCTACCGCAGCTGGCTTGCACTAGCTAAATCCTTCTCTCTTGTGAGACTTTGAGGACTATGTTTAGGATTCTTTAGAGAATTATACAACTCCAGAAGCTTCCCAGGTTCTGGCTTTCTGCACCTGGTGGCTGTGAGGGTCGTGAGTGGGACAAGTGTTCATCCCGAGTTGAGTGTGCTCAACAGACTGCTCCCTGAGGTAACTAAGGAGTTGTAAATTGCTTTCAAGACTAGTTTAGTTCCCGTCTTCCTTTTTGCAACCACAAATGAATTAAAATGTGTCACTTTTATCAATAAAACATCATATCATAGCACAGAATCTGGGGTTTGGAAGTGCTCTCCTCCTACGCACTGAAATGATAGTCAGTTCTGTGAAAAATCTGAAACGAGTGTCAGTTAAACCACTGTACTTTGTCATTGCTGGAGAAGATGAGCGAGTTTACATTTGTCCAAGGGAGTCTTCAGAAGAGAAGTGGAAGCCAGTGACTCACTTGCTGAAAATTAAAAAATAAAGCCTGACTCAACTCTCCCGGGAACAGAAGGGGTGTGTGGATCCCTGGCACAGGCCTCGCTCTGTTTCCAGTCAAAAATTGCAACATAAAGATATAGAATTGCATATAAAGATCCCCCACTTGGGTGGGAGGGGTGCCATGGGGACCTCTGCTCCACACCCTGCCCGCCTCGGGGTCAGGCCAGCCTGCACCCAGCTCTTCCTGCCAGGGCTCGGCGGGTGTCGCCTGCACCCCACTCCCCGGGCACGGCCGGCCTCCGCGCACGAGGGCCGCGTGGGGACTAATGGGTGCCAAGTTGAGGGGGGCTGCTCATCACCTCCCTGGATCGTGAGGTTCCTGCTGGCCCGTTCCTCCAGGACGGCAGCCCTACCCAGTTTCAACCGGTCCTCCCAGTTTGGGCTTACCTGTGAACCCGACCCAAAGGCACTCCAGGACCTCCTCCAGATCGCAAAGACGTCAAACAGGACAGAGCCCAGATCCGACCCTCGGTGTCTTCTCACCAGCCTCCCCGTAGCATGAGTCCTACTAACTGCTACCCTCTCTGCTTGATCATCCAGCCGATTTCTACCTACCCGGCTGCCCACCCCTCCAGACCATGATATCCTCACTTGGGTGCAAGAACGTCGCGGAACACGATATCGAAACTCTTGCTGAAGTTGAGGTAAATGGTACCCGCTGCTCTCCCCCTGCCTACAAATCCACCCATTTCAGCGTGAGAGGCGAGCAGTTTGGTCAGGCGTGACTTACCCTTGGTTAATCCACACTCACTGCTCCTACCCACCCTCTTCTAGAAATACGCTCCAAGAAAGCACATTTCACGGCTTCCCCAACATGAGGGTGACCGTCCTGTTGCTCCCCAGGACGTCTTTTTAGCCGTTACGGAAGATGGGTGCGACATTTTCCTTTCTCCAGTCGCTGAGGACCTCCCGTAATCGCCACGACCTTGCAAAGATGATGAACGGCAGCCTTGAAAGGACATCAACCACTCTTAAAAATGGAAGCTAGTCTTGTTGCCCTGACATCCCTTGCACGACCCAGCTCCGGGAGAGCCTTGGCTTTCCGGGCACCGTGCCCCCGTTCTTGTGCAAAGCCCATCACACCCCCTGGGATGGAGAAGCACTGAGTGTCCCTCACACTGGTTCAATAGGAGCAACAGCACCCACTTTTTAGCCACACCCCAGGCAGTGCCAGGCACCCGGGTTCCTACCTGCGTGCGGTGGAACCCCACATCCCCCTACCAAAAGGAGAAGCAGCAGCGGCCACGGCGGTGGAGGAAGCGCACACATCCACCCTCCGAGGCCAGACCCACGGCAGGGGGAAAGGGCCCCAGGGGAGAGGGGTGCTCAGAGGGGCACCCTGCCAGCGGGGAGACACTGAAATGTGACTGTGGTACCCGGTGCTGGCACAGGCCCGACGGAAGACAGCGCAGGAATGTATTTATAGGTCGCTGTCGTCCCTTGGGCGTGCAGCTTACGGGCAAAAGGATGGCTGAAATAGGTTGAGGGATTCCCCAGCTGGGGCCTGATTTGGTTTGGGCTCCTTCGGTCTAAAATAGGGGCAGAAAGCAAGCCTTTTCTGAGGCAGATTCGACAGCTGGGTTTCCAGAGCCTTGCCAGTGCTCGGCCCCCGCGAGCTGTTCTGGCATGGTGAACCTACGCTGTTTTTTCCAGGCCGGCGCGGCCAGCAGCCACCAGCGGCCCCAACCCTCGTCCCCAGACCCGCGCCGGGGAGGATGCTGCCTGCCCCGGCATGGCTCCTGGCCTCACGCATCTCCCTCCCAGGACAACTCCAGTGTAAGGCAGAATGATGCTGGGGCCAGCACCTCGAGCCCCTAGCACGCCCCGCTGAGCTCACCCCAGCCCCAGCAAGGCCGAGCCCCCAGCGTGCCCACGCCAGCACCGCCGCTCGCTTCCCCGCACCCCGCCCTCACATTCAACTCAGACACACGTTTCCCTGAAAAAAAAAAAAAAAAAAAAAAAAAATCCCAACTGCGGCAGGGGAATAAAGCCGCTCTGGTTCTCAGCAGGGCTTTTTTGAGTTAGCACAAACCACCATCGCTTCTCATTTCCACTCACAGTAACCCCCCCCGGCCCCGAGGAACAAAGCGGCACTTCCCCAGGTAGCGGCGTGCCGGTACGGGAGAGACGGTTCATGCTGCGGGCAGGGCTGGGTGGAGGAAACCCCCTCATACCGCTGGAGCCAGCAGCCCCCGAGAGCAGGGCTTGTGCAACAAGCAGGAAGGCTTGCTCTTATTTTATCACCTTTGCATCTGTTTAATCCAGCAGTTGCTGGAGAAAAAGAAATCGAGAATAAAATACTACCGGTGACATAATTTATTCTCCCGTCTTTCAATCAATATTTTATATCGTTGCAGCTTGGGCTATTTTTAATGGGCTTTTTCTAACCAGGAACGTGGTTTAACCGATCAACAACGCCCCAAAATGTGTCTTTTATCCCAGGGCTGCCTGTGAGTCTGCCGGTGCCAGCAAGAGCGGCGTGGGAAGCTGCGGGCACGGAGACCCTTCGCAGCTCCCACGTGATGTTTGCTCCAGCCCGGGGCGCTTCGTGGAGACCGGTTGCACACCTGGAGGAGGTTTTGCAGCAGCGAGTTGGGTACGGGGGGGGGGGGGAGGGGGGGGGGGGAGGTGAATAAATAAAAGGAACTGCTTGAAGGTGGGGAAAAACAGTGCTGGGGGAAACGGTCTGTGTCCTGCCTGCCAAGAGGCGTTTGGCGTTGCGTCCGCTCATCTCTCGCCAGCATCAGCTGGAGGTTTCTGCCGAAGACGTGTCCCCTGAGGATGCCCAGCACAGCCCCAGGCTCCATCACCAGACGCAGCCCCGCACCCTTCGCGCACCCTTAGGGGATCCGTGGCAGGACCAGCAGCACCCCCTGGTCCTCCAGCCGCCCAGCTCTCCATCCCACCCACCCCGGAGGGGTTATCGCCTCTAATCCCAACCGCCCGCTCTCGTTCGCTGTTCCCGAGCCCTTCCTCCTCCTCCTCCTCCTCCTCCTCCTCCTCCTCCGCCATCAGTAAGGGCTGGACACCCCGCACCGGCTTTTCACCATTTTCAGCAGCTTCTCCTTCAGCGTGAGGAAGACGACAGCGATGGCGACCAGGAGCGTCAGGCAGGTGGGCAGAGCCAGCACCAGGTAGAGAAGCGCCAGGTCGGCCGTCTGCCACCGGCAGCTCCGCAGGACGGGCTCGGGCAGCGCCCTGGGGCTCAGCGTACGGGAGGCGTAGCTGCACGTCACCTCCTGCCCGTCGGGGACGTGCAAGCCCTCGACCTGCTGCAGGGAGTCCCACCAGCCCAGCGTGCAGCAGTTGTAGGGGTTTCGGCTGAGGTAGACCTCCCGCAGGCTCCTGCCCAGCGGCGTCCGCGCGACGTCCGCCGGCAGAGCCGGGAGGCAGTTGGCCCGCAGGTCCAGGCTGCGCAGTTTCAGGACGCCCAGCGAGGTGGGGAAGACGGGCAAGGAATTCCCCGAAAGGTCCAAGCGGACGAGGCTGTTAAAGGCCGAGAAGTCCACCGCGACGGAGGAGAGGTTGGTGTTCCTCAGCGACAACACCCGCAGCGTCAGAGCGAGGTCCTGCAGCCACCCCAGGTCCCTGGACAGTGCCTGGTGGTTATCGGAGAGGTCCAAGTACATCAGCGACGTCCCCTGGAAGGGGTGGCCGCCCAGTCCCCGCAGACCACAGCCAGCCAAGGAGAGATGAGTCAAGGTCTTGACACCCCTGATGTCCACGCAGGGGGGACTCTCCGCCTCGCCCGCGAGGGCTGGCTGGGGACAGAGGTCGACCCGGTTGCGGCTGAGGTCCACCGTAGCGATCTTCCTGCTGGAGGTGAAAACGCCGGGAGGAAGCGCCCGCAGCCTGTTGGTGCTGAGGTTGAAGAGCTGCAGGTTGGGGAGGACGTCCCCGGCGCCCACCTCCGCCCCCAGCTCCTCCAGCTGGTTCTGGCTGAGGTCCAGCTCCATCAGCATGGCTAAGGGGTCCCCCTCCGCCAGGTGAAACGTCTCCAGGCAGTTCTGGTTGAGCTTCAGGTGGGTCAGGGAGGGCATCTGGGCCAGAAAACCCTCCGGCAGGTACCAGACCTGGTTCTGGCTCATGTCCAGGAGGCGCAGGGAGGAGAGGTTGCTGTGACAGATCTCATCCCAGAGGCTGACCGTCGTGACGTTGGTGGAGTTGCCATCAATGAGCAGAAACTGCACCGTGACGTCTGCCAGGGATGTGCCGTTGGGGAGGCGCTGGTAGAAGCTCATCTCGTTGTCCTTCAGCAGCAACGAGTGCAGCTTGCTCTGCCGGGGCAACACGGGGAAGAAGAGGAGGCGGTTGTGGGACAGGTCCAGCACCTCCAGCTCAAAGAGGTCATCGCTTTCCAGGGCCAGAAACCACTCGATGACATTGTTGCTGACATTGAGCACCCTGAGCTGGGTCAGGCCGAACTCCACCACGCATGGGAGGTAGTTGTAAGCTAAATTGAGCCTCTGCAGCCTCTGCAGCCCTTCGAAAGCTTGGTCAATCTCAAAGATGTAGTTCTTCTCCAGGTTCAGCTCCAACAGGTGTGTCAGGTTTGTGAAGACAGACGAGTCCAGCCTCATGATGATGTTCCTGGCCACGGACAAGGACTCCAAGGAAGACAGGTTCCAGACCAAAACCGATACCATGTCCTCAGTGAGGCGGTTTCCGGATAGATCCAGCGTCCTCAAGGCTGGCAGAGCGGAAAGAGAAGCTGCTGTCAGCGAGCAGTTGGTGAAGAGGAGGTTGTCTGCCAAGGAGAGCGTGCGGAGGCCTTGGCTGCTGAGGAAGGCGCCGGGCTCGATCAGTTCCAGGCGGTTCTTGGTCAGGCTGAGACACCGCAGCTGGTGGTACGAGAGCAGGGAGGTGTTGCCCAGAACCTGGATAGTGTTCTCATCAAGCAACAACTCCTCGGTATCACCCCGAAGGTTTCCTGGGACGGATCTCAGCCATCTCCCAGTGCAGTCGGCGGTGCTCTGCACCTAAAGGAAAAATATGGATCTGTAACGCTGCTCTGAGAGGCAGGAGATGGGGTGAGATGAGGCAGGAGAAGTTTGGGGAGCAGCGTGAGGATGGTGGAGGTGGCTCTATGGCTAGAGCCTCGGCACCCAGTCTACCCCTTAAACTAAGACAGTAGTTGAAAGGGGAAAAGTCTGGAGATGCAGAGGCAGGGCAGGACCAAGCAGTCGGAAAGGTGAGGGTTTGCAAGAGAGGACTTACGAGCTCGCAGCCACCAGGAGATGTTGCCCAGGCTGCGGCCGCCCCGCTTCCCCATCCCGCTGCCAGGAGGAGCAGAAGCAGGGAGAGACCGGGGAGTGGGGCCTCCATCTCAGCGGCGGCACTCCTGCAGCGGTGGAGACAGAGGTGAGAAGGTCAAAAGCTGCAGACCGCTCATCCCGAAAGGCCCAGATTTTCCCGGGGAGCCCCGTCGTGGCAGCGGAGGTGCCCCAGGGACCACCCAGAGGCGACGGGCTCCCGACGTGCCATAGTGGTAGCCACCATTCCCCACGAGACCTGGGCTACCGCGGTGAAGAGCCCCGGCACCGAGCCCACCCGCCCAAGCAAGAACCCTCGCGGGGGTCCACCAAGGAGAGCGTGGAGGGCGGGAGAAGAGAAGGGGCGGGGAGGTGGCAGCCCAGTCCCCGCGCACGGGAAAGGCACCGTCGGCGCTGCACAGCTGCTCGCAAACGCCACCGAACCGTAACCCTCGAGCAGAGGCTTCCCCCCCCCCCGGCTCCCCGCCCCAGCCAGGACCCGTGTCCCCCCCTTCTCCAGTGCCAAAACGCTCCCCCCCCCCCCGGGGGGGGACACTGACCCAACCACCACCGAGTCCCTGCTGGCACCCGCCCCTGCCAGAAATCCTCCCCGGGGAAGGTGACGCTCTCCAGCACGAGGTGCCCCGTTACTAACTTGGTGGAACCGGAGCTGACGGCATTTGCATCTGGGGAAAAGCTGAACCTCAGGCAAATGAGCAGCAGGGTCTCGGCGAGGGCTCGGCAAGCAGCGCTTTCATAACTGCCAGTGCTTGAAGAAGAAATGGGGAGGGCGGGGGGTGGGGGGGGTGGGAGCGTGTTTATTTTTGGCAGCCCAGGTAGCCAGAGCCTCGCAGCGCAAGGGGAGCGGGGGGCACATCCTGGGTTGTCTCCTTCCTCGTGCGAGCTGAAAGTGTCAAACTGGTGTCTTATGGAAGCGGCGTTTATCAATCTGGTGGGGATGGAGAGGAAGCCCCCGTTCCCCGGGCTGGAGCTGGTGCACAGCAGCTTGCACCCTCCCGGCACCCTTCAGCAGCGCCTTGCACCCAGGCACGGTGGCTCGAGAGGGACCCTGCCGTGTCCTCGCTGCACCCACAACACGGGGGCTTTCCAGCTCACCTTCAGCCCTTGAAACCCTCCGTAGAAGCTCACGCTTTTCTTCCCCCAGCTCAGCCTTCCCTTGCCACCCGCCGTTGGCCTCCCCCCAACATCAGAAGCTCCTCCATCCTCGCTGGGGCTGCGGGGACGGCGCCTGCCTGGCCAGGAGGGTGGGCAGCAGCACGGGCACGAAACCCCCTGCCCACATGCAAGAGAAGTCCGGGAGCACCCACCACGCTCCCCACGGGGCACGCCGGCCCACGCAGCCGCAGCTCTTACAAGCGTGGGCATTAGTGCCGCACGGCCACCGCAGATCTTCAAGCTGGCAAGGCTGGGGAGGCGGGGGGTGTCCCCAAAAACCCTCAGCAGGGTTCTGTGCTCCCCCCCTCCCCTCCCCGGCTAAGGTACCAGGGGGCAGTTACTCACCGCGTGAGGTGGCACGCAGGGTTTGCCACGACTCATCGTGGAGCTGGCGGCCCCTCGGGGAGGGGGGGGGGGAGGCTCTGGGTGCCAAGGGTAGGTGTGACCCGCCGGGTTTCTCTCCCACCCGTTTTCTTGCTTAGCACTAATATAGCCTTTGCGGAAGGAGCTAACGGAAACGGCAGTCACATGGAGGCAGAGAGCGCGGCCCAGGCACTTCGCTTACTGATCTCAGCACTTACAACCCGGGTCATGCACTCCCGAACGGCTCCACCAGCAAGAAGGAACCACGGGGCTGGGCAGGCAGGGAGGCGGATGCCCCAGGGGGGGAACCGGCCCCCGTCGAGGGTCACACAGCTCCTGGCTCTCCCGCTGCTCCCGGGAGCAAACCAGCACTGGGGACAACCCTTGTGCCATGACTCCTCTGCACAGCTCCAGCAGCAAAACCCCAGCGAGGGTTTTGGGCAGCAGAGTGAGTGCCCCACGGGTGTTGGTTTTTTTTTTTGCCCGCAGGGCCATGCCACCAACCCTGCCAGGGCTGGGGAGAAGCCACCAGCTGGGCAGCACTCCCCTGCACGGCACCTATGTCCGTCGTGTCCCTCCCGTCTCCTGCTTGCCTTCAGCACCCACCCCAGGGGCTTCGACAGGAGCCAAGGGATGCGGTTCCCACAGGGCAAGAAGAAGGTGCTGTTATTTCCCAAGCCCCTTGCTTGAACGTACCCCTAAAACTCTGCGTCCCCACTTCGGGACACCAGCGCCCAGCCCCTCGTGTGGTCTAGGTGAGATTCACCACGCTCAAATCCCACCGCCCACAGACCTTGGGGTCTCTTGTGGGGCTGCTCAGGATTTTAGCAAACCCAGCGGTCAGGGTGCGTATCAGACCCATCTGGACGCAGGGACCTCTCAGGTGCCCATCCCTACGTGAAAGTCAGCGTAAATGTCTTCTCCCACAACTGCCAAGGCAGAGAGAGACACAAAAATCCACATTTCCAAGGCAATATGAACTGGGAGGCCCCTCCATCTTCCCCCGCTCTCCGTCTCCCTTCTCCATGTCCTCATGCCCTCTCCCCTTCTGCCAGTGTCCTCATGCACTCCCAAATCCCCAACAAATCCAGCTGCTGAGGGAGAAAGTGGTTTGCCTGGATTTACCTAGCTGGCAAAGGGTTCAAAACTATGGAGAAATGATTCAGCTGTGCAACAGGACCCTGCCCGGTGGGATCCACAGATCCCTGCAACATCCAAGCTCCACATCACAGGCACCGGCCAGCAGAAGTGAGTGGGGAGGTTTGTTTTTTTTTTCTGCCTTCACCTTAAATTTCATTTCTTCTCTGGAAGGACACTGAGCTCTCCCATGTCACTCATGAAAAAGGCCTGTGGTTTCATTTCCTCCATTTTCAAGGAAGTTTGAAGTATAAGAATCAAGAAGGAGAAGAGAGAAGCACTCCTCATCCCAGTGAGCCAGAGCAGATGGCAGAAGCTCCGCGGCAGGGCAGAATTCTCGTGGCGTTGCTCGAGGTCACATGAAGGGCCGAGCCCGGCCGATGATTAACAAACCCACTCCTCAGCCCCAAAACCCTGCCCCAAGCCCAACCCGCACCAAAACCACTCCTCTGATGCTTGGAGACGCAGGATTTCACCCCCAGGGCTGGCAAGTCCTGAAGCTCTGAAACTCGAGCATCCTTACCCATGGCAATACTCCACTCTTGGGTAAGCTGGAGGCCCCCGGGGAGACCTTCTGAGATTCCTTCGCGTGGTGCCACCAAACAAGGTGACACCCCAAGGGTCAAACCAGCTTCCCCCCCCCCCTCCCCAGCCCAGGAGGGGCTCGGAGAGAAAACAACGCGCTTCATCCTCTGCTTCATCCCCAGCCGAAGCCAAGGCAGCGTAACCCCCTTTCCCCAGCAGCGAAGGTGCTCGCTGCCGGGGCACCGTGGGATGGGAGGGCCCTCTCATCGCCCCGACCGCATTTCACTCCCCCCGCCCCCCTCCCCAAAAAAGCAGCCGCCTGTGACAGCAACTTCCCGCAGAGCGGCCGCCGGCTCCGCGCCGGGGCAGCTGCCAGCAGCCTTGCATTTCACACTTTCCCCACATCCTGCAGCCCGATAGTTTTGAAAACATCCCAAAGCTGCTGCTCTTGCTCCCCTCTTCTTCCCCTCAAGCAGCCGCAGGCCCCCTCCCAGTAAGGACCGAATGTGTGCTTCTCAGGGTTTTTTATTTATTTTTTTAGCATCAGCATGGTGAAGGGATAGGGGTTGAGCTGCCAGGAGCTACTGGTCTGATCAGCTCTTCACGAAGCTCCAAGCCAGCCCAACAGCACAAGTGGATTAAACTGAAGGAGAATCGGCCATTTGCAGCCGTGTCCACACATGCAGCTGCAATTCCTGCAGCTGTAGGAGACAACCAGGAACCCCCCCACGGTTTTACACCCAGGGAGCTTCCTCCATTCCTCCTACCCCTCTCTTCTCTCCAAACCACCTTTTTCCCCCCTCAACAACCCTCAAATTGTGAAGCACAAACCAAGGGAAAAGTTGCAACGAGAGGGCAGCCTCGGGTTGCCCCTGGAGTGCTGCACCCACCCCAGGGACCCCATGGGGACAGGAGAAACTGCAGCAGAAAGTAGCAACCCCATCGTGGCACCTCAGTGTGCCCCTTGTTTGGCTGCAGGAAACGTGATTTCTTCCGGAGTGTAAGCACCAAGAGAAAGGTCACTCATGGTTCACAGACCAGCAGGACCACAGCCCCGGGCGAGTTGGGGCAAAGTGAAACAGAAATGTTTCTCCGTGGGCTTCCTCTACTCCCACTGCGATGGAGAACTGGAGAGAATCAAAGAAGTCATTCCGCAAGGGATGACGGCACAAAGCATCCCTGGAGAGCCTCTGGCTTGGCTCGGTCTCCAGCATTTTGCTTGACAAGGAGAGGATGCAGAAAGCACCCCTGCAAAGGGAAAAAGAGGCAGGGAGAAGAACCAGCTGCTCTGATAAATTAGCCTGTGAAGGGTTAGATAAATACCTACAGAAGCATCATGATCTCCAGGCTCATGGGAAACTGAGATCAGCATTACAGAAAATATTAGGTAAGCCCGAGGGATCGGCTCTGTCACAGCAGCATCTCACCTGCTGGACCTCATCAGAAAGCGAGGAGTGGCCACACAGCGAAGACCAGCATCTCCCTCCAGCCATTCCTTCCCGGGCACTGTGGTCAGCGAGGACTGTGAAAACGAAGGAAAATTCAAATTTTATCTTTAAAACCCACATCAAATTTTCATTTGCTCCTTGGCCGGAGTGCGTACAGACAGCGCAAATGTATCAAGAAGACACAAGTGAAGAAGTTATTTCATTTAATCGCCTGCCCTGGATAAAACAAGTAAAGCTGAAGTATCTCAGAAGTTGATTGCCTCTAGTTTACGATGAGCTCTAAACATAAAAAAAGAAAAGATAATTCATTACCTGGCCAAAAGGGAAAAGCTAAAACGGTCAGCTGGAGGGCTGAACTTTAAACTACAGCTCTCGAAGGTCACCTGGCCGAATTTCTTGATGGGAGTGCACCCAGTTAATCCCCAGGGAATAGCAAAGGCCGCGTCCCATCCCAGGGTGGCGCGGACGCACTGATGTAGGCAGGCACGGGCACCTCTACAGCCCCGGTGCTGCCGCAGAACCGGAGCTCTGCAAGAAGCACAGCTCCCCCTCAGTGGATTTCTTGCAGGGGAAACCGAGAGACAGCAATCAGCAATTTATAATCAGCTTCAAAAATCTCATCCCCCCCCCCCCCCCCCCCCCCCCCCCCCGCCCCGCACCCCCCAGCTGTAGCTAAACCACCTGCTCGCTTGTTTACCTAGGCACCCTCGGTCTTCTTCCAAGGAAACACGCGTGCTAGCACTGACATTAGTCACTGAACTAATGGTTTTGCAGCGGCTGGTGTGCATGGGAACCCCTCCTGTAGCAACAGCATCCCCCCCCGGGCTGACTCCACCACCCCGCTCCCACTCCCCTTCCAGCAGCAGCCCGTGCTCCCCGCAGGCTCTCGCTCTGGGAGGTTACCCAGCTATCCACACCCAAGCTCCCCTTTGCTCCACCATTTTCAGCCATCAGGAGTCTCCTAGCTCTTGCCAGGTTTCCTGAGGGAAAGAGGGGGCTCACAGCAGACGACTTCTTTGAAGCCAGGATTAATTCTGGGTTGCTCTGAGCCAGGCACAGGGCCTGCTCGCTGGCCTTTGCAGGGACACGCTAGTTGCTGACACCTGCAGGCAACAGGGCTGTGTGAGCTCAGGGAAGAGGGGGAAGGAAATAACCCCAGCAGGCTGACAACATGCAGCGAGCCTGCAGGGACCCAGGTGAGCTGCCAGCAATTGGGAAAGTGACCCCTTTGGGCTTGGAGGACATTCCACCGAGGACCCGGACGCCAACCAGGTGCCACACAGCAGTGGAAAATGTTCATAGTGGAAAATGTGACCCTTTGGTCTCCAAAAGGTGCAAGTATCCTCCCCCGGGCTCAGAACGGCA